TCGATCTCTTGACCTCGTGATCCACCCGCCTCGGCCTCCCAAAGTGCTGGGATTACAGGCTTGAGCCACTGCGCCCGGCAGCATATAGAAACTTTTAAGTTACGATGTAGATAGAGCTATGATTCTTTCCTTTGTGATTTTTTTCTTTTCCAGAGTATGTTTTAAAAAGTTCCCCCTGAAGCCCTCTAAACTTTGATGATGTTCAATTCAATTTTAGTTTTTCTTTGTTAAAATTTAAATCTTTATTTTAATGAGTAGTTTAGGTTGATACTGCAGACAGTCCCTAACTTAGGATGGTTTAACTTAGATTTTTTAACTTAACCATAGTGTGAAAGCAGCACTTATTCAGTAGAAACTGTACTTCCAATTTTGAATTTTAATTTTTTCTCGGGCTAGTGATATGTGGTATGATGCCCTCATGGTGTTGACAACAGCAGCAAGCTGCAGCCTTCAGTCAGCCATGCAGTCATGAGGGTAAATGACCCATAATCTGTAGTTTACTATGCCGACAGAGAATTTCACCCAGTTGTAGGCTAATGTCGGAGTTGGGAGCATGTTTAAGGTAGGCAAGGCAAAGCTGTGATATTTGGCAGATGAGGTGTATTATATTTTCTTTTTTACTTTTTATGAGATGGAGTCTCACTCTGTCACCCAGGCTGGAGTTCGGTGGCACCATCTTGGCTCACTGCAACCCTTGCCTCCTTGGTTCAAGCGATTCTTATGCCTCAGCCTCCTGAATAGCTGAGACTACAGGCGCATGCCACCATGTCCGGCCAATTTTTGTGTTTTTAGTAGAGGTGGGGTTTCACCATGTTGGCCAAGCTGGTCTCAAACTCCTGATCTTCAGTAATCTGCCCACCTTGGTCTCCCAAAGTGCTGGGATTACAGGCGTGAGCCACGAGCCTGGCCTAAATGTATTTTCAGCTTAACATATTTTCAACTTACAGTAGGTTTATCAGTGCATAACCTTCCTGCATTTGTATATACTTATTTTTCAAAATTGTCATCAGTTGGGAACTGATTCTTAAATTGTTCTATTTATTATTATCATTATAAAATCTATGAACTTTACATGCTCTAATTAATTTTATCTCTGTTGCATTTTTAAGACACTTGCTCGATGCCTGATTTTGTGGGACGATATTTTACCAAATTCCAAGTGGGTTGACAGCAATGTTCCTCAAGTAAGTACATATAATAAATATTATGTCTTTAGTAGCATAAAATTATGATTTCTTATGGGATTTTTCAAAATCCTATAAAATATTTTTTCTTATGAAGGCAATATTGATAAGAACTTTCATTTTAAGATTTTTTTTTTTTTTTTTTTTTTT